ATGAATGCTGGTTCCCCAGCAGGGGGTGGCCTTGAGGTGGGGCCTAGCTGGAGTAAGTGGGCCACTTGGGGGTGTGCTCGGAAGTTTCTTAGCCCAATCCCCTTTCCTGTCCTCTCTCTGCTTACTGAATGCAATGTGACCAGCAACCTCAGCCCTCAGGCTGTGTCTTCCTAGATATGATGTGCTATATCCCTTCCAAGGGTAAGCCCCAAATCCCCCACCCCTCAAGTTCCTTCTTGTCAGGCATTTGATCACAGCAACAAAAACTAATTAATATACCAATGTTCATAAAGATACTACAGTAAATGGAATCAGCTGCCATGGTTCCTAACTTCAGATAAAAAGACTATGGTCAATTTCATCTTCAAACTATTTGATGGGAAGGCTGTGAGTCCTTGGCATTCCCATCTGAGGGAGCAGGGGCAATGGATGTGGACACCCAATAACCTTGTACAATTCTGGGAACAGTAGGGGCTGATCTTATGTTACTAAATGAAAACATCTGATGGACATTAAATTATTCCTTGCTTTATCATTGACTTAATTTTATATTGCCAGAGGCCAGGGGATATATTTGAGTTACTCAATACCTTCCACACCGACTTGCGTCTCCTCCATTGGAGGTCTTTATTTTGTGGCACAATGGTCAATTTTATCCTCTAGCGGACCACACACTTGCTCACTTACACTCTGGCTTGCACGTACACACAAAGCACACAGATAACCTGAGTATATTGCACGAGACACACTTTCTTCTGGACCTACTCAGTTCCCTCATGCATCTTAAAGGAGCTAAGAAAATTCATCATTTATCACGTGTAACATTTCCTTAAAAATATTTCTCTATATAGAATCATGAACCAATAAGTCTCAGGAAGTGTACACAGTGAAGCAGACGTGAAATGAATGGGGTGCAGCCTCACAGGTGGTATTAATATTTGAAAAAAATAAACATTAACCTGAAATGAAACCTTTAAGACAATTTCACTTTAAGAAATAAACTTATAAGTCTCCTCCTTTAAGAGAAACAGAGGCCAGCACCCGACTTAGTTGATCCAAGCTGGTGACCTTTCAGCCTAACAGGTCTGCTTACAAAAACATAAATCCAGGTGACCTTACTTAATAATGAACTCTCCTCCTTTTATAGCCTTGGAACTATTTGGTGATTTGTGGGAGCTGTGTCTCCTACACACTGCTCATCAACTGTGTATCTGCAGAGGAAATGAGATTATAAAATAATACGTGGAATCCACTCCACTCCGCTCACTGGGGGATCACCACATTAACTACGTAGACAAGAGGAAGTTACAGTATTTTACTATTGGAGCAGGATGGAGGGACTGAAAACCCAAAGGAGAATTAGAAGTTCCATACCAGAATTAAAATGCTGACATGAATTCTGGGACTAGTTCTGGTTAGAATTTACTGATTTGGTGTGGGGATCCATAGAGGCTCCCTTGTAAGGCCTTGCTCAAGGTCAGAGAGGCTGAGCTTGCTTTATTCAGCAGGGCTGCATAATGGGATGATTTGACCAAAGGCGTGGTGACCAGGTGTTTTGAAGGGTCTACACTTGGTTGTATGTTGTGCTTTGATCTTAAAAGGGGGAGGTCTTTTGCCTCTCCCCTTGTTAGTGTATAAAAAGCCCATTTGAAATAATCTTGAGGTGGCTGGGTATTGACTCAGGGCCCTCCTGAAACTATCCTGTGTCTCTATCTTTTCTCTCTGTTTACATCTATGTTTCTTCCTATTATTCCCCAATTCCTCACTTCCCACTTCAAGGAACCTTTCAATAGGCCAAGGCTGAACCCTGACACTGAACTCCAACAATTTGGGGTAGCCATTTCCCCTTGATTGTTCTGTGTCATAAAGGGCATTGCTGGGCTTATCCAAACATGCATTTGGTGGCTCTTTATAGCTAGAGCTTCCTTGCTGGGCTCTCAAGGAAGGCTGTCTTATCCCAAAAGATTTTGACAGACAAGCTGAAGGACTTGTTTGTGACTACCAATATTGTCTCAACTGTGTAACACTCAAAGGTACCACCCAACCAGCATTGCCGCAGAGGCTTCACGGAAGAACCCTACACAGTCTAGCTGACAACACAGATTCCCCTCCAAGGACTTTCCACAGAATTTTCACATATCCCCTTTGAGAATGGTTGAGTCTAGGACAGTGGTTCTCAACCTGCCTAATACTGTGGCCCTTTAATACAGTTCCTCAACCATAAAATTACTTCATTGCTAATTCATAAGTATCATTTTGCTACTCTTATGAATTGTAATGTAAATATCTGATATGCAGGATATCTGTTATGCCACCCCCAAAGGGGTCGTGACCCACAGGTTGAGAGAACCTCTGGTCTAGGAGGATCTTAGCATCTCAAGGGGCATCCCTAAGCTGGTATGGAGCTCAGGATGTGGTTGGATATCCTGTCTATTCTCGCATAATGCCCCCTCAGTATTCTTTGGTACCGTGTTCCCCTTTAGTGTTGGTTGGCTCTCCTCTTCCCTGTTTCCCCTCATCTGTTGTCTCAAATTCTCTGCTGTAGTATAAGAGGAGCGTAAAGATGTCAAAGAATCAGAAAAGAAGAAACACTTGAATAAGCAAGCATATGTATGCATACATGTGACATTATGCACAGTCACATATACACATACTTAGGGTACTACCTAAGTTCTTCTTGATGTTTGGATCACCCCTTTATTAACCCAGTTGGCACGAATAGAATAAAAGAGCAGCCAGAGTTTTCATGAGAATGGAAAGAACCAATTACAAGAGTTGGGTAGGGAGAAATACAAAATTCACAAATATAAAAACAAAGAGGGCCATTTGCACTTTAAATCCACACTTGCCTCATGTAGCTAAATGTTAAAAGTCAAATTCCCAATTTAGAATGTAATAAACTTTAATAATGAAAGTCTTAGGGCTGGGGGTATGATGCAGTGGTCCATTTGCTTAATAATGCACGGTCATCCCCACACTTCAGCACACACACACCAAAGCTCACCACACCAAAAATCTAAAAAGTAACAAACCTCATCATCTCTCTAATTGATCTACTTTCTAACAAACAAAAATGAGGTACCAATACTTGGGTTTTCCACACTTATTTATACCCTAGTTACAAAAATAATTCTTGGTGGATTTCCACAGAGACTATTTAACACAAACTCAGCAAGAATCCCTAAAACATTTTCTTTTTCCACAGAAAAAGGCAGATTCTGGAAAGCATCAGGTCTGGGTCTGACACGGAGCTGGCCCAGGCAGGGGTGGTGGCAGCTGGCAGCGTGGAGGCCTCTGCTGCCACTCCACTCCACCCTGCTCTTCTCCACTAAGCTTTGTTTTCAGTGTCACTTACTTAGTTACTAATGAGGGAGAAGGGGAAGGGGCAGTCTGGGGCGAAAGGTGTCAAGAGGAATTAGGAAGGTGCCAGCAGTCCATTTACTTATTTATCTTATACTGAGCCAATGGTGTACTGGGAAAGAAAACCAGATTGATACCTCTAGTATTGTGAAAAATCTATTTTTTTCCATTTTCTGAAAATCAACTTCCTTCTGGTAACAGACTCTACCTTCCCTCAGGGCAGCACCCTTGTTAAACTCTGAGTCTTGGAGCTCAGGTTGTCTGGTTCTGCATCCCTCATGGTGAGGAGAGTGGCAAGCTGAGTCACATTCACTTTGAGGCAGTTCTGTGGGGACCTTGATAGGAACCACCAGGAACAAATCACCTGCTTTAAATGGAGGCCTGGTCGTCCTGTCTCTAGGCCAAGAGATAATGGGCAGGCTAGAGCCAGAACAAACCCAATAGCCCAGGGAGTTCTAACAGCCTGGCTTAGGACTGTGGCTTACACAAACAAAGTCTGTGCTTGGACTTTTCCAGCATAAGGGCCAAAGAGTTTCCTCTGGGCTCCAATCAGTTTGAGATGAAGTGTTTGTTATTTGTAACAAGAATCCATCTACTGAGAGAGAACAACTCAACTCCTATTACTAACTCTACGCTGCACTCTGGGACTATCAGATCATTGAGACTGTAAATCAGGCTGGGGTGTGACTCGGTGGTGTAGAACACTTGCCTACATGCATGAGACCCTGGGTTCAATTCAATAACTGTATAAAAAAAAACCAGTATCAATCAAATAATGTAAAATCAACCTAGGAGTCAAGTCCCTTCATACTGCAGAACCGAGAATATGACTGTGATCTCTGGCAGAAAAAAAAAATACTGCTTTTCCAAGTCCCCAAGGCACCAGCTTATCTCTCCTCCAATTTCCCTGAGAATTTAACCTTACAGGGTCTTCATGTGGAGCTTCTTAGATGCATAAATGTCGGCGACAAAATAACTCTTCCAGTAAGAGTGAGAAGTCTCCACATTCACACAATTTTCACCATTAACAGAACCATCTGGCCTAAGTCTGATGTTAATTAACTGCTTGCCAGTGAGGGTAAAGGGAAGAAGTAACCATACTGACTTAAGAAGTACTTGTTTACCTGGATGGAAGCCAAAACTAGCCTACACATACACGTTCAACCCCAGGCAAACTTTCATTTATGGTATTCACACAGAAACCTTCAGTAAGAATAAAGGATGAAAGAGGGAACCTGGAGTTTGAATGGTTGAACAACACATGATTTAAACCTGAGCCTACATCCTATATTAATGTTTTAATTTGCACAAATGCATATATTTGCAGAAAAATACCAAGAAGAGGGAGAAGAAGAATTCTGTGTGACTGCTGAAAAACGCTCTTCTACAACATGCAGATCGAATGCACACTGACCCAGAATTCTTGATTCAGATCGACAAGCCCTGCTGGTGACTTTAACAGCTCTCACTAAATGCCGCTCAGTGGAAAAAAATCTCTGGCAGTTTTTAAGATAAGTTATCATTACTATTCATTATGAGAGATTACATCAAAAACATTTTGCAAGAGTTTCCCAGTAACACTGCAAAGTGGACTGTGCAAGCAAGACACTCAAAGAGGAATGCATAAAGGGAACACCCACATGAACATTTACCTTCCACGGCTCTTTTGAAGAAGACTTTGCAGCTGCCACAGGTCACTACCCCATAGTGACATCCAGAGGCCTCATCCCCACACACCAAGCAGATTTTGGAAGGTCTTGAGGATCCAGTAGATACACTTCGCAAAGCAGAGCTAGGGAAAGAAATCAAGATTTAAATAACTTCATTGCAATGGCACATCTCCTGTCCTGTTCAGTAGCATTCCCAATTTTCAACAATCCTGGCCCCTTGAGTGAATCCAGTTTCCTTGGTCATGTTGAATGACTCAGAAAAATGAAAGTAAAGCCATTTAAATCAGGGAGGTGGTGCCATCAAGAATGGTAGGCATATAGGCTGGGGAGAGAGCTCAGTGGATAAAGTACTTGCTGAACATGAATAAGGCCTGGACTTCAGATTCCCAGAACTCACATACATGCAGGGCCCACCTGTAATCCCAGGACTCAAAGGCAGAGAAAGGGGATCATCAGAGCAAGCTGGCTAGTCAAAGCAAAATGCTTTGGGTTCAGTGAGAGACTCTGCCAGGGTATATAAGTGTATATATCATCAGGATATGTAAGATGCTAATTGATGGAGGAAGACATCTGATATCAACCTGTGGCCTCTACATGACGTACATGTGCACACACACACTTGCCTAATACACATATAAGCATGCATGCACATGTGCACACACACTCTCCTAATACACATATAAGCAAGCATGCACATGTGCACACATAAGAAAAGAACAGTGTATAGTCAAGTCAATTCTCAACACTGAGAGATGAGGGGGGGATATCACATATGAACACATTCCTTCCTTTGCCTGTTTCTGAGAATATTTCAGAAGCTATCCCCGCAAAGTTTCACCAACATGACTGCACAAACATGAGCTGAACAAGGACAACACCAAGAAACTTGCCAACGTGGACGGGGCAGAGACCACTAGACCTCATACTACACGAAGAACTACAGTGACTAAGGAATATTGAGAGCAGGAGAATACTGTTCTCAAGGGAAGAGCATACCAATGGTTATCCAATACCAAATGGTCATCCCTGAAAACACATATAAAGGTAACATTATACAGACAGAACATGGATTTGAAATGTAAATATGTGTGTGTGTGTACATATGTGCATTTAACAACAACTAATGAAAAAAAGATACCATGAGTTTGAGCAAGAAGAGGTGTATAGAAAGATTTGGAGGGAGGAAAGGGCAGGGGGAAATGATATAACTATAATCTCAAAAATAAAAGAAAATTTATTTAATAAATTTACAAAACCAAACTTTAGCCTTTTTATTATTTACCTTGATAGATAACCTGAAATGTATACTATATCTGGTTTTAATATTGATGGTATCCTTTCAAATTAGTAAGCAAAATGAATTATGTTGAATATACATGTAATAGTAGGGTTTGGGTAGGGCACAAAAGTAGCCCTTGGAGCAACAATCTGTTTGGAAGCTGTTTAAGAGGACTCCTCTCTAGATATTTTATACATTACTGGGTTAGTCAATGGTACACTCCAAACAGAACACCTTACATTCTGATGAGGAGCAACAGGTGAGTTACAGCTTAGGTAGGTGTGTCTTGAGCAGGAAGAGAATTGCACTTTTTCCTTCATGGACCATAAGGACTTACTAAATATTTATTGGTAAGTCTTACACAAGGTACTAAGGAAATCAATATAAAAACCCTGGTTTCTTCCCCAAAGCTAGTGGGGGCACAAATTGTCAATGTTTGTGTTGCTGCAGTGTCAGGTTACATTGTGGGTTCAACCCTCCAATCTGGGCAGGGCAGTGATGTGGGAGTCAGGAAAACATTGACTCAGACATGACATCTGAACTGAACTGTGAAGCATGACAGTGAAGGGGGAACGGAAGGAGAACGGAAGTGCGGTGGCTAAGGAGAATGCACTGAGCATGTTCAGAAGACCAAGGTGCTATCTGCCTCCGCTGGTCCCGATCCACACACTCCTGACTCAGTGTGAACAGCAGACGTGAAGGAAAAACCTCAAAAGTAAACACACCAAGTGGCCACAAAGCTCATGTCATCGTCATGGTCCTCTGCTTTTCAAATTTGCTAAAGCCTGGTCACATATATTAACAAATGTTAATATACATTTGTCTAAAAACACTTTTCAATGTATGAACAACCCTCTTGCCAAAAACAGCCGAAAGAACAAACATTGAGCTGCTCAGTCCACCGTGGCATGACTGCCTTTCTAGAAAATGCCTTCTTAAATCAAGGACTGAAACAGCATTCTCCAAAGCTATTTCTCCTCCTGAGAAAAGTGCGCTTTATTACTTTTATTAGTGCCCTCTGACTCCTTTATGGCATTCAAAACATTCCATTTCAGCACCAGCAACCCTGCAACATATTGGCTGGGAAAACTCAGTCCATGCTTGGGCTGACTCACAGGACACTTCAGAGAAAGCCGCAACTGTAAATATTTAGAATATAATGTAAAATCATCATTAAAATGTAATTGCCTTTTCACAATGGCAAGCACATGTGGGTTTGGTTTTTGTGGTGCTGGGACTGAATTTGGCTTTGCATGTCCAAGGCAAAGGCTGGACCACTGAGCCCATATGTGAGATTTTATTCAACATTTATTGTGGGTCTTGATCTTTTACTGGTCTCTGAGCTTCAGTCTTCTTGGAACTCTTGTCTGTTTCGGCCAAACTTCCTTTTGGTGTGATCTCATCTAGTTTCTTGACTTTAAATAGCCCTTGTATCTTCGGATTTCCACACATCCATCCTCAGAACTTCAGAACACATAGCTGGCTGTTCACCTGGCACCTCCACCAGAGTGTCTAACTTCACCTCAGACTCAACATGCCCCCCAACTCTGCTGGTTTTTCTCTGCTTCTTAGCTTGCTCATCTCCACACCTCCACATCTGCTAATGCAAACAGCTCTAAGTTAAACTGTTTAACTTCTCCCTAAATTCACAGGTTGAAATCCTGCTCCCCAACCCCTCAGAATGTGACCTTCATGAGGGCTGCCAGTATGCTTATTAGTTTTGATGAAGACATATTGGAGTTAGGTGAGCCCTTAATTCTGTGGCTTGTATCTTTATTGGAAGGGGAAATTGGGCCACAGATACCAGCACAGAGTGAATGCCATGATCATATATGTATAAGGCAGAGACTGCAGCATGTGTTTAGAGGCCAAAGTGCATCCCAGGTTACCAGCAAATCAGCACAAGTAAGAAAAGAGGTATAGGGCACATTCTCCATCAAGGGCCTCTAAATCAACATTGCTGGTCTTGGTCTTGGATTTACAGCTTTCCAAACTGAGCCATCCAGTCTGTAATGGTTTGAGTAGTCCTGCAAACTAAGCCAGCAGCCTTCAGATGTTTTTCTAGCTGCTTGAGGGGAAACCTGGACTCATCTTGAATCTCCCTTGCTGGTTCACATACACACCTGACACACGCAAGCTGATAGGTCTTGCTCAGCACATATTCAGGTTCAGATCACTCTTACAAGCACCAGGCTAGCCCAAGCTGCCAGAGGTAGGATTTCTGTGGAACTCTGAGAAGCTTCATAGCTAACCTCTCTTTTTTTGCTTCTCTTCTTCCTCCCCTCTCAAGTCTGTTCATCTACCCTTTGCCTCGAGAACATTCCAAACCGTCTTAACACACTTGGAATCAAACACACAGCTACAGAGCCACTATATACCCTTCCCTTTCTCCCATGCTTCCTCCACGTGAGCAAGGCTGATCTCCTTGCTGCCCTCAAACATACCAGCATGTACCAGCATGCTCCTTTCTCGGAGCCTCTGATCACTCTTCATCTAGATATCAAAGGATGGTGGTGGTGTTTATCATCTGTTTCCTGTACTCTTCCTTGTCTATGTCATCCACACAAAAACCACAAGCACAGTAGAAACCCAGATTCATTTGTGGTTTTCACTTGTCTGTTTCCCTTTCGGGAACCGGATACACAACAGGCCTCTGATATACTTGTAATCTTGAACATTCCTCAAAGGCTGTGTGGCACTCTTCACAGACAGTAAAACCTTTAAGAGGTGGGGCCTAGAGAGAGTAAGTTAGGTGGCTGCAGGATGCACATAAAGGTGGGATCTCAGTTCTCCCCCTTTCCACTTCTCTGCTTCCAGACCACCAAGAGTTGAGCAAGCCTCCTCCACTGTGCCATCTTACAAGATGTACTGTGTCACCACAGGTCCAAAATGACACAGCCAAGTGACCATGGATTAAAACCTGTCAAACTACAAGCTAAAGGTCATCAAGTCTTTCTCTTATCACCTGGGTATTTTGTTACAGCCTTAGAAAGCTGATTTACACAGCACCCAACCCAACAGATGACCGAGCCATCAGGTGGCATTTTTACCAGAGCCACCATGGAACCCACTACGGCTGCCTTTGAGCAAGACAATATGATCACGCCCACCTAACAGTAGAGAAACAATGTGATTATCAAGCAGCCAAACCGAACTGAGATATCAGAGAGTCCAGCATAACCAGGCCCTCGTGGACTGCAGATCACAGCAATTAGTTTGCTACATTCAAAAATCAAAGCCAACATCCTCCTCCTCTTGTTCTCACTTATATCTCCCCACAGGAGATCAGCATCGCCTCTATCTACCTCAAGGTTTCCCTGTCAGCATGGAGCCTTCTCATCCCATGTCCAACATGTGTCTTCTTCATAGGCTCTTTCCCATCTTGCTCACCAGCTTCACATTTCTACCTCTGGCCATCTTTCCATCTCATTTCCACTTTCCATCTCTTAAGGGTCTCATGCACAACATGTCTTCAGGCAGCCTTCATCTGATATCTAAATCTTTATAACCAGTTCAACTCTTTCCATAACCTTCCTGCTTCTACTTACTGTGAACTTCGTAAATACACCAGGTTCAGAACTGTTTGCATCCCTTTTCCACATTTGGATATTCTGGAAGGGTACTAGCACCTTGGAAGTACTCAGGATCAAATCCTGTACCCTTTGTCTTCAGTGGATATTAATTATCATATATATGTGTGTATATAATACATATATATTAGGCTGCTCCCGATATGCCCTGGAGCACCATTACTGTCTTTTGATATTTTGCACTGTGGTGTCTCCTCTCATGGCCTCCTTTGCTTTGGAGCCATCAGTAAGTGAAATAAGGTCTATCTGATCA